GGGTCTCAGGGAGGAGGGACTGGGGGTCAGGACTCCTGGGTCTGAGGAAGGAAGCTGGGAACCCAGACTCCTGAGTCTGACAGGGGACGGGCTGGGGGGTCTGAACCCCGGATCTGAGGGAGGAGAGGCTAGGGGCCCCAGACGTCTGGGTGTGAGAGATGGACTGGGGGCTGAGGCTCCTGGGTCTGAGGGAGCAGTGGAACGGTTCGGACTCCTGACTGTGGGAAATGACAGGACAGATCTGACTCCTGTATCTAGGAGTCTGGATTCCTGGCTGTTGAGGGAGGAGGGGGCTGTGTGTGGGGGCTGGGCTCTTAAAACAAGGGGGAGGAGGCAATTGGGAACCCAGTTGCTCCAAATCTCCAAGCGGGAGCCAGCGGAGTCCAACCCCTGAATCCGGACACAGACTGCTGGGCGCGGGGAAACCCAGTTCCCCCAGGGGGGCCGACCCCGCTCCGGGCCCAGCCCGCTGCTCCCACCGATACGATCAGCGGAATCTGGGTGGCGGGTGGAGGCCTGGCAGAGCTCCTAGCCCGGGTCCTGGAGCCCTGATCCCGGGGCGCCCGCTCCTTACCTCCGCCGCCTCGGCTCCTTTCTTCCCCGTGGCCGGCCGAGCACGGACGGTGGCGGCGGGGAGGGAGGGGGCCCGGAGCGTGGTGGGGGGTGGAGGAGGCTGGGCTCGGTGTCTCCGTTTAAGCCTTCCCCCCGGAAACCTGGCCTCGAGTCCCAGCCGGAGAGAGGAAAGCCAGACTGGGAAGCCGGAAGCGGGAGGACGGGGAGACCCAGGGGGCGGGGAAGAAAGGAGGGAGAGAGGGCGGCCTGGACTCTTGGGTCCGGCAAGGAGAGGGGCGGGGGGCCTGTCCTTTGGGTTCCCCGAAGGAGGAGCGGGCTGGGGGCCTGCGAGGCCGGGCTCAGTTACCGCCCCCCCCTCCCCAACACACACACTATTCATTCATTCCTTCAACAAATAGACATTTATCAGCTTGATCTGTGCCAGTCACTGTGTTGGGCCAGGGAGACAGACACTGTGTTGGAGCGGTGACAGAGACTTCAGGGAAAGGGCCGGGACTCTGGGCTAGAACTTGGTTCCAGACTTCTTCGGTTGGTTCATCCCTCTCGGAGCCTCAGTTGCCTCCTCTGTGATAAGACTCACATATATTCATTGACTGTTGTTTAGTGCCATCGAGCCCGTTGCGACCTGTATAGGGTTTCCGAGGAGTAGCAGGTGAGCTTGAACTGCAGACCTCGCAGTTCAAACCAACTTTGTAGTCCAATACATTAACTCACAGGACCACACTAAGGGCCCCATACTCAACCAGCACCTATTACAGGCAAGCTCTGGATATATTGATGCCTTTGAGTTACGGCGTTGGAAGAGAATATTGAAAGTGCCACGGGCTGCCAAAAGAGCCAATAGATTTGTTTTGGAAGAAGTGCAGCCAGAGTGCTCCTTAGAGACCAGGACGGCCAAACTTCGTCTCTCATACTTTGGACATATCGTCAGGAGGGAGCAGTCACTGGAGAAGGATATCATGCTTGGTAAAGTGGAGGGTGAGAGAAAAAGAGGAAGACCCCACTGAGATGGATTGGCCAGGTGGCAGCATCAATGGACTCAAGCGTGGTAACAATTGTGAGGTTGTCCCAGGATCGGGCAGTGTTTCATTCTGCTGTGCATAAGGTCGCTATGAGTTGGTACCGACTCGATGGCACCTAACAACAACATTCAAAAGACGCTGTTATTGTCATTCCTGTTGTTAAAGTGCTGTGGAGTGAGTTGTGACTCACAGTGACCCTGTATAGGTTTCCCAAGGAGCGTCTGGTGGGTTTGAACCACTAATTTACGATTAGCCGTCCAATGCTTACCCTACAGCATGGCACTATGACTCCATTGTTGTTACCTGCTATCAGATCCATTCCAACTCACAGCTACCCCATGTAACAGAGTAGAACTGTCCTATCGGGTTTTCTTGACTGTAATTTACAGGAGCAAATTTCCAGACTTTTCTGCACTGATTGGTTCAAACCACCAACCTTTGGGTCAGCAGCCCAACATGTAACTATTTGCACGACCAGGGCTCCTAACCAACCCATCTATTCCACTGTCACGGAGTCAATTCCATAGTGAACCTATAGAACTGCCCCGTGGGGTTTCCAAGACTTCATAGATTCTTCATAGATTCAGACTGCCATCTGCATCTGTGTTAGAGGAGGGGGTCTCTAACTGAGGACCTTTAGGTTAGCAGCTGAGGGCTTAACCACAGTGCCACCAGCTCTTCTTTAACTGACCCTAAGACAACAATATTTACTGAGCTCCTACTATACCCCAGCCTTGCAAATATTTAGCGACATATATTCAGCCAATCCGAGGGCCCTGGTCTTAACATCAAGGCCCACAGTTCAAACTCATCAGCCACTCTTGGAAACCCTATACAGAGTAGTGGCACACAACAACAACATTCAGTCAACCCTAAGATCACACAAACTTGGACTACCACCTGAAAGGTTAGATGCTGGAACACACCCAGAGGCATTTTGGAAGAAAGACCTGTAGATCTGCTTCTGAAGGATTACAGCACTGAAACACGGATGGAGAAGTTCCACCCAACACATGTGAAGTCGCCATGAGTTGAAATCGACTTGAAAGCAACTTACAACTAAACCCAAATCCATCGCTATTAAGTGGATCCCAACTCATAGCAAGCCTATAGGACAGGGCAGAACAGCTCCATGGGCTTTTCAAGGCTGTACATCTTTATGGAGACAGATTGCCACATCTTTTCCCCACACAACAACTGTTGGGTTTGAACTGCAGCTGAGAGCTGTAACAACAAGAAACCTACTGCCATCGTGTCAATTCTGGCTCATAGCAACTTTATAAAGGGTTTCTGAGACTGTAAATCATAACAGGAGCAGACAGCCTCATCTTTCTCCCATGGAGTGGCCGATGGATTTGAACCATCAATCTCTCAGCTAGTAGACCAATGCCTAACTCAGTGCTACCAGATTTCCTTGCAAGAAGCAAATAGAATTTACTGAGCATCTACTATGGGCTAAGCTCTGTCCTTGGTGCTGAAACCGCGGGGGTGCAAACAGGCTGCTCAAAGATTTGCATGGAGTTACAGTCGGTTGTGGGAAGCATTATGCTCTTGAGGCTTGTGGTCTAAAGGCGGAAACACGATATGATGTGGAAATACAGATAACAGAAAAAGGCATCCAGCTGAGCTCACCCTGGGGTGAGGGTGATCCAAGAAGTCTTCCTGGAGGCAGCGTTTCTACAGAGATCTGCAAGGTAAAAGACAGAGCTCGGGAATAGGAATGGGAAACGGGTGGTAACTGGATAGATTGGTATCAATATGGCTTCATCTCAAAAACCAATTATGGAGCCGAAAAGGCATGCTGTACTAATGCACTGCCAACTTGTGCTGTTTGTTCAAGGTTAAAAATACAATGGCGTTGTTGCTAGGTAC